GTGTGTTCAGCTGTGTTATCACACCCAGCAGTGACTAGGCTATCACTAGAAAATAGGCCTGTGCAGAGTTGGAGAGTCTTGTTAGTGCAACTCACTCGCACAATACTATCAGTAAAGGTGTTCTATTTTTAGGCATGGAAAATCATGAAGTACCTTCTCGTCTGCACATGTATACCCTCAGCACTCCCTGCACATTAGTCATGATAATAAACCAATACGGTGTCAATCATCCCACATCAGTGTCTGAACAAAGGCCTCCTTACAGCTAAATATAGGACGACCGTTCCCCCTTATCTTAACTTTTCTTTTACCTTTCCAGCTAGTTTATTTCTTTTCCTGTTTCTTTTCCCTCTGACTTTTTTTGCCATTTGTAGTTTATTTAACCAAGACTCCCTACGACATCCCGCAAGTCCACTCCACTCTCTGTTCTTCTGCACACATTTATTTTTAATCGGAGAAAAAACAAGCAACATTCACTGAGATCAACATGGTGTATAATCGGGAGAATGGAAATAAATGCTGAGACGCATGAGAAAAATGATGGACGAGGGGGAACGAAAACAGTGGCAGGAATGTTGAGGAGTGATGTACAGTATGTCGGTCAGAGCCATGACAGGAGTGGAGCAGAAGTCATGGATGTATTAGTGAAGAGGGAAATCTGTCAAAAACATCCAAAGATGAAAATGGAAAACGTGGCAGAGAAAACAGTATAATCCTAAATGATAAGTATACAGTGATCCCTCCTATCACGGTAGCTGTGTTCCAAGAGCCACGTATTACGTATATATTTACCCTTTACCAACATCCCCCACACTATTATCAACCCTCCGTAGACTGTGTTACCCTTTCCCACACAATCATATACACAGTAGAGTTGTAGAATGGCGACGCACAACGAAGTGAACGAGAGAGTGAACGACAGACAAGGGGAGACGCTGAGAGATGCTACGATTCATGAGCCAATCAGTGTGAGGAACAGAAGCACATGCTCAATTAGCCAATAGTACACCACATTGTATTAGCCAATAGTATACTGAGTACCATCTCATCTAGGTCAACAAAGCTACCAGCGATGGTTCGCAAATGCGCTTATCTCAATTTCAAAATGCAAAATCGGATTTAAAAATAAAAAAATATACCGAGGGGGTGAAAGGAGAACCACGATACAGAGAGGGAGATATAACGAGGGAGTGAAAGGAGAACCACGGTACAGAGAGGGAACTAATGATAAAAAGAATAAAAAATACCAGTAAATAAATGTAATCTCTCTGCGTAGTTGACACAGTAAACGGAACAGAAAGTGATCACAGCTTTTACACCAACAGCACGTTTCAACTGTTTCAGTGTCACCAACATTGTGTAGAACCGTTTCCATGTTAACAAATTCACACCAACGATGTTGCTTTAATGATTCTCAAGAAAAAAAGTGACTCAGTGAGGCGTGAACTCCTCCACTCGGGCATTAAAGTGAGCTAACACAGTAGGTAATAGGCGCAGACGGTTGTGGCAAAAGTGGTCACAGAGTATTTGAGTAAATCGACTGGATTGGCACATGCTTTAAAATGTGAGTGTTAGAATGCAATAACCAGCCCCGTGCTGATACCAGGATCAGTATCTGTGCATCTGCTCTAACAGTGTCACAACAGGACATTAAATACAGCACACTGATGCATGAATTACTTATTTATGTTATTCTTAGATTTCACAACTACATTTTGACACCTCCTCCTCCTCCTTATTATGTATCTTCATGTCTAATTTAAACCGTTTGTGTTTAATCATGGCTCATTAACTTTGACCTTCAGCACTGAGTGATACACACCAACGCAGAAAACTTAATTGAAAGTTTCGACACTGCATCAGAAACATACCCACAATCACATTATGCAATGATTGTACATTGTGTTACAGGGCTATTCATGACTGACTACCTCAACCAGTTCACCTGTCACCAGTCTGTTAGATTCAGGGTCACGTGCCATGGTGCAGTGGCTGATTGTGCCAAAAAGGTTCCCTGTTGGAGTCTTGTTTTCTGTTGTCTTCTGTGACCCAGTCCATGGGTTTTTACTTTGTACTTTATATTCGTACTATAGTCTAAGAGCAAGTCAACTGTTACTGCAGTCAACGTCAGAGGACTGATTGTTTCTGTACGCTGACAACCTGTCCAGGTGTAAACAGGGATTGGCTGGAGCTCCTCCCACAAGGTCATGACTCGACTCCAAAGGTCATGTTTTTTTCACAACTAAATCACCCGCCCACTGTGGGTTTGACTACCCCAGGCATGCGCATGTTATTTATATATACAAAATTCACAAGACACGTTATGTTTCATTGGACTTTGACATGACCTTGTTATAACACAACTGGAGCCCATTAGTGTCGTGTCAAAACATGACTGATGTTTCAGTCAGCCTTAATGTGAAAACAGAAATAGAATTACACCCAAAGAACCCAGTAACAGGGAGAAATTGAATATATTTATACAGTCCATGTTATTTTGAATAACATTAATGAGACAAAGTTCAGCACAATGGGTAACAAACCATTTATAGGTCACACACACACAAGCAGTCTGCAAGTTTTCAGCAGTGACTGAAATGAATGAAATAGAACAAAAATGGGGAGGGAATGCAAGGGGTGGGGGCACAAGGAAAAACTGACAGAGAAAAATCAGAGTCAGATATAGTCAGTTAAAAAGGCAGAAATGTAAATTAGATTGAGAGTCAAAAGAAATATTCACAAAATAACACCCTGGAAACACTGGCTGAAAAACATCATAAACAACACCTGAAGCACAGCTGCTGTATGAGTGAATAGCATCAGCATGACAGGGTGATCAGAGTTACTATCTGGGCCCATTGGAAGCGGTATTTTACTAGACTGACTAACTGACTTATTTTAACCAGATGTGCAGCTTTGCCGCGATGATCAAAAACAAAGAGATAAAGGGTGATGGTCGTGTGCCTGTACTTTGTACTGCTAATGGTGAGTTCAAGGACCCGGGGGCTTGTCCTCACAGAAAGGAAAATAATACCCGTTGGTGAAAAATCAAGACAAATAGTTGTAGTTTCCCCTGAAGCTATGCTGTATTTGTGCAGCGACTCACCCGGGGCAGTTAGGACTATAGATGCCTTATAGAGCTACCCTATAGGAGATCTGGACTGGGGGACCCAAAGGGGGAAAAGGGGTCTCAAGTGCAGTCATGTATTTGATGATGAGGTGGCAGCGAAACAGGTCAGGACTCTGTGAAATGTGTTATAGATTATAGGTTACAACTAACATGGCTTAAAATCAAAAACATTAAAAGTAGTCGACGGGTTCACAGACAAACCAGTCGAAAACAGAGAAGAGGTAAAAATAGCTGTATTTCCAGAAAAAGTTGGAGACACTGAAAATTTAATAACAACTAAATCCTGTTATGACATTAGCAGTGTCTTATTTTTCTGGTAAAATGAAGAAGGAGAACATGTTGGCGTCATCACAAAATGGATTATAATTTTTAAAAATAAACTGGTTGGAAAATGAGTTCAACACTGTGTGTTTTTTTGTAGCTTTTACGTAGAATTGTCAAGACTGCTGGGTAAAACTCGGTTCCCTAACAGTGTGGGGATGTTCTGTGCGTTTTTAGGACATGTCGTGATGATTTCAAGTGGACAGATCTGGACTGCAGGCAGGTCTGCATCTCGACCCTCGGATCACCACTGTGAATCAACAGTGTGAGCTGCTGTCGCTCAGAAACATGAAGCAGCGAAATATCTGCGGCAGCGTCTGACTGTGCACACGGCTGCCAACTATCTTCGATATAGTCAGCCCTCGCCGATGTCTTGATTTGTTGACTGGGCGAGACGGTGATTCACAGACAGCAGGAGGCGCACTCAACCGCACATGTGGCCCAGTGTCGGCCCAATTCCGACAGGTGCAAGAGTGGCTGCAATCACACTAGCCATAGAATCCAGACTTTGATGGACAAACATGCTTTGGCGAGGCAGCAATGGCCAAGTCCCTAAAGGAACCCACAGAACACGCAAGGCAGAACAGAGGACATCCATGGGGTTTAAACCAGCAAACTGATGATCCAAGTGTAACCACATCTTTACCGTCTTAGACATTAACATTTTTAACCCTTTTTTTACTTCTTTGCATTTCCAAAATGTACCGACCATTCGAGAAATACCTGAGCTAGAGCAGCTCTTCACTGCAGAGGTGACTCTCTACGGAAAACACCTTTGGTTTCTTTTGATGAATATTGGATCGTAAATGTCTGGAAGTCCTTTGTTTTTTTTTTGATGAATATTGGATCGTAAATGTCACATCACTGAAGCACATGCAGCTTTGTCTGTGTTGTAAAGGCGGCAGTAGTAGAGAATGGGCTACAGGTCCTGCTGTATTAAGATGTGTAGCTATAGATGCTTCTCGTCTTTGGGGAGACAGACTGACACAGACAAAGGGAAGTATGACAGTACGGCACATATGGCAGGACAGTCAATGACTGCAGCAGGAAGCGCAAGGACAGAAAATAGCTTCTGACTGGAATTAAACAGGAAACACTGTTAGCAATGGAAACAAATGAAAACATGACCTCAGTGACGGGAGGAGAATACAAACAATGTCTGGCTGTTGTTGCTCTCAGTCTAATTTAATGAAATTTCATAAGAAAATGAAACAGAGGACTTCACCAAGAGAGTGTTGTCAGCACCGAGTGTGTATTTTAAAAAGGACACGTGTTGCTTTTACTTCCAGCGGTATGGTATGTTCCAAAGCACTCGGCCAACCAATCCACTGCTAAATGGGAGAAACTCAATAAAGGGATCAGATAGGCTCCGACATTAGGAGGATTCAAACAAGCAGATTGTTTGTTGATAAAATCTGCAGCAGGACAGTCTTGTGACCCTGCGTCGGTTTGAATCCTGCTGACTAATTTAGAGCGAACATCATGTTATCAAGCTACTTCATAAAAATTTAATTGGCTTTTCAACATCAATACTGTGCTTGTCTTACAGGAATGGAAAGCATCGGCGTGGAAACAGGCTGGGATGGGTTAGCTCTGTCCTCTCTGGTCACCGCTGGAAGGAACAACTACTCTGCCTTGTCTCTGTTGGCCTCAGATCTGAGCCCACACAACACTTCTCACAGCGGGGGATCCTTTTTTGGGATCTTTCCCGACAATGGTACCACCACCACCGCCACACCTCAGACTGTGCCTCAGCCCAGGGTCAGGGACATAGGCCTGGCCAGGGCGGAGATCGCGGTGCTCGGGGTGGTGCTGGCCTTCACCACACTGGGCAACAGCTTCGTCCTGTGGGTGCTGCTGAAGAGGAGGAAGCACAACGCACCCATGCATGTGTTCATGGTCAACCTGTGTGTAGCTGACCTGGTGGTGGCCTTCTTTCAGGTCAGTAATAACAATAATAATAAGCATTTTAAACAGAGGTGGTTCATGGAGTGTTCCAGAAAGGGCTGCTGCGGCTGCAGCACACCTGACCTGGATCTTTTAATCAACTGATCTGAATCTCCAGACAGCTGATTGGTCAGTCACTGTGCTTCGGATAGGTTGGAACCAAAACCTTTGTGGAACAGTTTGCCACCACTGGGTTAAAATGTGAACATTTTTGCAAATGGAGTTGGAGATTTGCTCAGGGTTACCAGTGTCCTCAGGGCGAAGGAATTCAGATCCTGTTGACACAACAGTCCTGGGTCATTACAGCTATTTTCAAGAGTCTCCCAAAAGTTGTGGTTCGAATCCCACTGAGCCCCCGAGCTAAACCTGAGTGTGTCTGGGATTACGTGATAATACAGGTGATCCAACCGCCTATCGCAGAAGATCGGAGGTTTTCGTCAGAGATGATTTTAACAAACGACCTCAGTTATTGTAGTTGTTAGTTACAGTCTTACTTTGCCTTTTGCAGTTTTCTTAAATTAACTTTCAACACACTTTCGTGTGTTTCAGTAAAGATCAAAGCGAGACCGTGCTAAAGACCTGGTACTGGCATCAATCCATCAGCATCTAATTGCGTGTGAATGAATCGTAGATGCAGTCAAACAGTCCTGGGTATGGATCCTCCACCCTCAGTTCAAATAAACACCTACGCAATTTCTGTTTGCAAGGACAAAATAATGTTTTAAACGAGCCGTATTGAACAAATATAGGCACTGTCAATATGTGTGTGTGTGTGTGTGTGTGTGTGTGTGTGTGGTCTGACTGACAGGAAGATGGCGAGAGAACAAATGAGTGCTGAGTAAACATGAAATAGGATATAAACCATTACACAGAAGAAATTGTGTGACACTTAGTGCGAACATTGTGGCGGCAGCATCAAACTGTAAACAATTACTTGACAAACAATCCCTAAAACGACTCCAGTCACGTTCAGAGGTGGACGGGACTCAGTCTTTCTCACTTTCTTAAGTCCCGGACCCACGAAAGTCAAGAAGCTCCATTTCTAAACTGACTCTCAAAGTTCACTGTTTTATCCCAACTAACGTCAACGTTCTCAGGACACAACAATGATGGGTCCTCAGATCGGCTGGCAGTCACGATGCACGTTCCGGAATTTGCCCTTGCGTGTCTTTACGTCACCTCTGACGATGTAGGCAGGATGCAGCGATCACACCTGAGCCTGTATTTACAATAATTCACCTTCATGTCAATGGATCATTTAAATGGTTTTAGTCAACAGACGGTGGATTACACTCTTTAATCTGCTGATGATGTTGACAACAGCAGACAGACTGTGACTCCTTATTTAATTCTTTTGTTTGTTTTTTTGCTCAGGTTCTACCACAGCTGATATGGGACATCACAGAGAGGTTTCAGGGACCAGACGTGCTCTGCCGGTCTGTCAAGTACTTGCAGATTGTGGGCATGTTTGCTTCGTCCTATATGATAGTTGCCATGACAGTAGACAGGCACCATGCCATCTGCTGTCCTTTGCAGGCCTATCGTGGTGGAGCAATGTCCCGCTGGAACACTCCTGTCATGGTAGCCTGGGCCCTGGCATTGATCCTCAGCATACCACAGGTAGGCGCAGGTGAACGCAAACATGAGAAGAAATCTTATCTCTCACACAAACACAAATTAAAGCGCACGGTACGTTCAGTGGGATTTCAAGCTGATGGAGTGAGTTCGATACTGATCGCTGTAGTTGTACTCACTAGGCTTTTCTTTTTCTTTTTTTTTTTGTCGTTGGGCGTCACCGATGTTTATCTTCTCTCGCTCGGAAGTGGCTCCCGGAGAGTTTGAGTGCTGGGGTCACTTTGCCGAGCAGTGGGGGCTGAAGGCCTACGTCACCTGGATGACGATAGCTGTCTTCCTGCTGCCTGCACTCATCATCACCGTCTGTCAGGTAACGCTGTCTGAACTCACTCGCGGTTTCTGTAAATCTCCTTTCATAAACACAAACCTCCTCAATCACAAACTGTACACAACAGAAATCCAGGAATGAAACGAGCAGAATGAATGAAATGCTCTTTTGTTTTGTTTTTCGTTGTTTTGTTTTTTTCACCGAGGCAGCATTTGGCAGACATTGTCCAAAACCCCCCAGGGAGACAGGGGCTGGTGTTATGTAGCATCCGATAGCAGAGAACCATAATGGGCTGCCTCCCAACAGACCCAGCTAATCTATTTAG